AGTTTACACACTGTTTAATGTTCTCATCTGCACACACTCAGAGTTTACAGTGTTCAATGTTCACATCTGCACACACTGTCAGAGTTGAACACTGTTCAATGTTCACATCTGCACACACTGTCAGAGTTTACACACTGTTCAATGTTCACATCTCCACACACTATCAGAGTTTACACACTGTTTAATGTTCTCATCTGCACACATTGTCAGAGTTTTACAATCTGTTCAAACTGATCAGTGTAATCAAAGCAATCATAAAAAATGCTATAAATCAGCTAATACATATACAATAAGCTTTTAAAGCATGGCGTCACATCATACATAGAATGTGTACAAATACTGATGATTCTTACCATCCCATCCAGGTACAGGTCTACCAGTGCAGCCTGAGGGTGGGTACAAATCATTGCCTAATCCTACATTTGTTGCTGTAATGGGCCAACCAGTTTCTGGAAACAAGATATTAAATATTGATTGAATGAAAAAATATAATTTGTTTATCAATATTGATACATGTACTGAAAATGTGAACGACAACAAATAAACAATCATTTCAGCAAATATTAATAGTGTGTTTTGAATATAGATAAATATGGCATATTAGAATACTTCATAATACAGCGAGAGGGTTGTCACCTGCGCATGCATGAAAATTGAGTCCCAAGCGACGATAACAACACTCGCTAAAAACACAAAGGCTCATGGGTAGACGTTTGTTTGTAAACAATGACACGCTATGGCTATCTGACGCATGCACAGGTGACGACACCCCAGCTTTTAAATAACTACATGCAAAGAATGTACAATAATGAGGAAAAATCTATTTAGAAGAAACTATAATGTACAATGCTGCATCAGTGAAAGAAAAGCATGAACACAGAAACAGATAATGACAATGACATGAAACAGAAAAACAAGATGACTGGTGCATACGAAAATAAGAAAGCCTTACCAGTCTGCCACCAGTGATCTAGTATAGGAACTCCTAAAGCCTCTCTTGCCCAGTCCATTGTCTCATGGTCACAGTGCTCACCAGCAACAAATAAGGCACGGAACCTAGTTGTAAACAAATATATGGCACAATTAGTACTCACTCAATTCTGCATACACAGTATGATCCAATTAATTCTGTAGTTCTGACTATGTTATGGAATTGATGAATTTGTAATTGATCGAAAATTACACTTGACCAAAGCACAGTTGTTAGATAGTGTAGTGTCATACTTTTTTGGGAAGTTTTAAATTCAAACCAGACAGTATAACATGCTTGAACATGCAATTATGTGCAACTAAATTTCGAAGAAATTGGGCTAGCCATTTTCAAGAAAATAGCTTTTTTGTTACCAAAAATAATATATTCACTAAAATTAATGAATTAAACGAAATGAACAAATCTGAGGGAGGATTATCCAAGGTACATTCATAGCAAATATGAAACCCATACACCTGATAGTTTTAGAGAAGAAGAAGTTGAAAGACACCAATATGAACAGTTACTCTCCATTGACCCAAGACTTAAAAAGTAAACATTTTTACAAATTGCACAATATTATTTATAATTTTAGTTACCAAATATTTTACAAACACATTATGACACTTACGTATCAGAATAATAATTTTTGATCATCTCTCCATTGGGATCCTCTCTTCGTATAGCTCGCAGTGCAGTAGGAGCCGTGAATAAAGACACTACGCCATGCTCTTTGATAACACGGAAAAATGCACCGCAATCAGGTGTACCAACTGGTTTACCCTGTCATACAATAAAACAAATTTACATATATACAATACTGCTTTCACACAACTAGGCATTATTAACGCATTGGTATTGTGCACTGACCACAATAAGGTCAGAGGCTGCAGGTGTTGCATTGCCACTGCCTGTTGATCACATTCTGCTTGCACATCATGCATGCCTCCTGTATTTGCACCTAAACTTACTTTGGGAAAACAACCACCTAACTTGTATGATCACCAGTCAGATCATTTCTTTAATGATTTAGTTAATATTACTACTATTACTATAATTGGGAATTTCTATTTGCTACCCAGAGTGGTGTGGCGATGTGGTAAAAAGTATGATGACATTATGTGATGTGAATGTGATAACAGTGTGACGTAAAGTCGTTAAATGCACAACACAAATGCAATCAAGCTTTGAATGTGTATGAGCGGTTTGGGCGAAAACCAAACAATATATCGCTAAATAAATTAAAATACATGAGATAATTGTCACAGTGATGTCAACGAAGCCATAAACAATGTAGTACGATACGTTCTATTGAATGCAAATTTGTTTCATCTATGTGTAATTAACATGTTTACTTCATTTTTTTGAAGAATCAAAAATAGTGTATTATAGCATAAACTCTTGGACATTACCAAAACAAGTAAGTTCTGTTCTGTCCAGTTTGATGTTAGAGTTGGTAAGTCAATCTCTCACTCAATTGTTACATTTCCCTTCAAACATAAGATGATCACATGAAGAATGTTTCCATTCATAAAAATTGTCTCCCTTGACACCTCAATTGTATGCAGATTTCTTCCTACATTAATGTTGATAGCCATCAATTCATGTTATTCTGTCAATGATTGAATCCTTTTTTTGTCAATTGTTATGCAAGACTTTTGTAAATAATATATCTATCTATGTATATCTATGTCATGACTGGTGTTGCAATACATTTTAGTCTTTTTATTAATACAGCTGTATTTTTAACAAAATATTTTCAGACATTTTTTTATGAAAAATTATGATTTTCATATGAGGAAATTGCAAAATACACTGTAACCTCCTTATAATGAACACCTTTATAATGAACACATTGCATGTCTCTCACAAACCCAATGTATTATATGCTTTCTTATAGTGAACACTTCATATAACAAATTAATTTTATATCCCCCCCTAAGGGTTCATTATAAAAAAGTTACAGTGTATTTTGTTAATGAAATGGAGGCAATATAATAAACATGCTCCATATACCAGAAGTAAATAATATTGAAGAGTATAACATGCATTTATGTAACAGACATTTGACCATGAAGTTGTATATACAACATATACCATATATAACATATTAAGATATTAAAAATTAATTACAAATAAAAAATTTAAATATTTATATTAAATAAACAACAAAAACTCCTAAAAATTACAATAAATAAAATAGTACAACAAAAAAGTAAAATTCTCTATTCAAACGTTAACAAACTGAACAAAACTGCAATAAGTAAATTAAAAATATTGTCAGTAAGCACTGCACACTCCTACCTCCTATTGTATCCTCACTGACTAAAATAGTGCGCCCTCTCTCAACCTGCCTTTTTTATTACTGGCTAAAATGAATGAATTATATTTCTCATATTCATCAATATGTAATAAGTCAGCTTTTGACACTTCAATTATAAAAGTACATTGTACAATTGTTAGTCTATTTCAGAGATTGAAGTAAACCTAAACACCAATGATGCAATTGTTATACGACCAGAAACGCTCACATATCAAACACAGTGCAACTGATATATAAAGCATTAAAAGACATACCATTTTAATTCCAAGAAAGCGATTAATAATCAGGTTCCAAGAAAATAGAAGGAGGATGAAAGTTGAACACACAAACTATAGTACAAACTGGAACCAACACACTTACCACCCATGCAAGAGTGTCAGCAAATGACTTACTTCCTGGGTCACTCAAATAAATTAGTTTTGATTATCCATAATTATCTACATACAACATTAACTGTAATGTAAAATGGACCACTTCTACTCACAACATGTGATGCATAACGACAAAGAATTTTACAAGAATTTTCTTTTATTTCTGTATTTGTGCAACTGATTTGGGTTATAATTTACACATGCTTTTTATTGCATTGGTTCTGGTTTATAATTAAATAATAGGTTTCCAGAAACAGAAAGATGGTATGAACTTTAAATACACAATACAATTACATACCTCATAAATGATAGATGTATTCCCATGTAGCAATGGCGCATAGCAAATATAAGAATGACCTACGACCCAGCCAAGGTCAGATGCTGCCCACCAAACCTAGAATTAGAACAAGCCAGTTAACCACCTATTTAAAAATATTAAATACTCGCACACTTTTGACATAGGAAATTTTTGTCAAGTTATTCCCTGGCTATTTAAAAGTAAAAAAAAAACACTTATTGCATTATGAATTAGGCTCAGTTTTATGCATATTGATCAATTTTTCAATTCAAAAATGCCTTAAGTCGGGCTTAACATTATGGGGAATCACATGAATCCAAGTTTGGGTACCCAGCCCTCTTTCTAATTTACCTTTTGTCATTTATTCTGTGTAACCTTTCCTTTGGCAAAATATAACAATTTGTAATGGTTTGAAATTGTTTGTACTAATTAGTTCATAATTAAAACAAAAATGTATAAATCTGCACACATATACTGAAAATGTTGAGGTCTGTTGTGTACCAGAATTTATTTGGACATTAATAAACTCAGAACAAGATGTACTTTTTAACTTCCAAAGTTTGTAATATTCAGGTTCCATTTTGAGTATGAAAGATCAAAAGACGATATATACTTACCTCCCCTGGTTTTATACCATAAATGTTATGCATCGTCCAGAATAACGCAACAGCATGACCACCAGTAGGACGTGTAACAGCCTATATGTACATAAAACAGAAATTATCTTAAATTATGCAAAGATTCATCAAAGAATCATGCAGCAAAGATTTATCAAAGGAAAAAGCACAAAGGCATTTAACATAGCCATCACTTTTCAAATATCTGGAAAGATAAAATTCCATTGTAATATGACATGTTGGTAGTTCATATTAACTATCGTGGTAGCTTGATATTTGATCACGGTATGGTGATAGTTGTCAATTATGATAGGAGGTTGATAGTTATTAATGATTTTGACATGTTGATAATTGTTAATGGTCATAACAGGTTGATAGTTATTAATGATTCTGACATGTTGATAATTGTTAGTGGTCATAACAGTTTGATAGTTATTAATGATTCTGACATTTTGATAATTGTTAGTGGTCATAACAGGTTGATAGTTATTAATGATTCTGACATGTTGATAATTGTTACTGGTCATAACAGGTTGATAGTTATTAATGTTTCTGACATGTTGATAATTGTTACTGGTCATAACAGATTGATAGTTGTTCATGGCCATTTGTGATCAATGATCTTAGACAGAATATCAAGGTAGATTCAGAATACTAGTCACATTCTAGTTGTTTTTCAGAACTGTGTGTAATTTATCAACATAAAGGCCACAGTGGAGAATCAAATGGTAACATGAAAAGATGCTATCAATAATAATAGGATATAGATAATTTATTTTTGTATGTTTGGGTCTCCCTTACCATTGGTTTCCCTTACCTTGGGTCTCCCTTACCATTGGTTTCCCTTACCATGGGTCTCCCTTACCTTGGGTCTCCCATACCATTGGTTTCCCTTACCTTGGGTCTCCCTTACCATTGGTCTCCCTTACAATAACTTTCCCTTACCTTGGGTCTCCCTTACCATTGGTTTCCCTTACTTTGGGTCTCCCTTACCTTGGGTCTCCCTTACCTTGGGTCTTCCTTACCTTGGGTCTCCCTTACCTTGTGCCTCCCTTACCATTGGTTTCCCTTACCTTGGGTTTCCCTTACCATTGGTTTCCCTTACCATTGGTCTCCCTTACAATAACTTTCCGTTACCTTGGGTCTCCCTTACCACTGGTTTCCCTTACCTTGGGTCTCCCTTACCTTGGGTCCCCCTTACCTTGGGTCTTCCTTACCTTGGGTCTCCCTTACCTTGGGCCTCCCTTACCATTGGTTTCCCTTACCTTGGGTTTTTCTTACCATTGGTCTCCTTTACCATTGGTCTCCCTTACCATTGGTTTCCCTTACCATGGGTCTCCCTTACCTTGGGTCCCCCTTACCTTGGGTCTTCCTTACCTTGGGTCTCCCTTACCTTGGGCCTCCCTTACCATTGGTTCCCTTACATGTGAT